CCCCCCCCCCCCCTCTTTCCGTTGGGTCCTCACTCACCCGCACGTGCTCAGAGCTCCGCGGGACGCAACACCCGAAACACACCGCAGCGGAAAGGGCTGCAGGGAGCGGGAAGGAGCCCCGCCTTGGGGCGGTTCCGGGGCGGGGCTCGTGGCTCAGCTCAGAGAAGGCGGGGCCAGAGTCTTCCGGAGGCGGCGGTGGAGGAGAGCACGGACCTCGTTGGAGCTCACCCTTGCAAGAGAGCGGTCTTGTTTCAGAACAAAGGCTACGTTTGTTGGGCTCCTGTCTAGTTTCTTATGTATGAATAGAAGGAACTCTGGAATTGCAGTTGCTAAATGGAGACTCTCATGTGTCCTAGTGGGGCCCGGCCGGCCAACTGCCTGCCTGCATCTAGCACTCCCCGATGCACGTTTCTTTCCAACGCATGGCGTCTTTGAGCTGCTGCAAGGTTTAGTCTATGCTTTTTGCCCCTCGCACGCAGATCCTCTTTCTGGCTTTCGATAGCCGTCAGTAAGCTAATAGATCTCCCACTCACACAAGTCACCATGTTTTGGGTCTCTGGATCTCTTCAGGAGGTTTTGCAGATTAGTACCACTCAGTTCTTGAGGTGAAATCCTTAGTTGAGTTGCTCTGGGAACACAGTGAAAGAGGGCCGTATTCTTGTTTTGAGCTGACACGTCTCCTTATTACCAGGGTTTCTTTTAAACTAACATTTCCTTTTCCCCAAAGTTAAGAGTCATTACGATTCTGTCCTGCTGAACAAAATGGTGATACTAGGGCCAAAAGGAGCAAGACCCACCAGCAGCAATTCCTAAATCCATTTTGTAACTCCCTCAATTCTCCTCCTCTCTGCTGATTATTGCACCTGGCAATAATGGTCAGGCAAGCCCTTGGGAATCAGTTACTGTCCTTGGCATCTGCCAACATGTTTTACTATCTAGTTCCTCAGTTCCTTCATAATAATAATAATAATAATAAGTGCTTCCTGTGCATTACAAGCCTAGCATACCTTTTCTGAAAAACCGCAGAATCCTAGCTTGATTCTGACAAGAGACCCTAGGCGACAGCACCAAGAACCACTAGGGAAGTGGCAAGCCCAAATCCTCCCAGGAATTGGACACAGTCTCTGGTTGAGGAAAAGCTTACACAAATACAGGAATTTAAAAAGCCATATGGGCATTGCTGGGCTGGAAGGCAGGAGCTGTTTTGCAGTTAAAAAGGAATGTGGCTCAAGACTGCTGCCATAATCAATGCGGCATCCGGCTGTCACAGCGTGTTCATAAAGGAGGGTTATGAGAGCTATAAAATCTAGCAGATTGGGAGGGTAATTGTTCTGCAGAGCTCCAAAGGAGAAATTGCATTGGCATCTCATATCTTTTGCTGTCTTTCTTTCCAAATCCAAAGTGGAAAAAGCAAAACTACCCTAAGAATTCATGAAAGGGAAAGATGAGGGTATGGTATGAGTGTGTACATGTGTATGTGTGTGTATATACATGTGCATGTGTGACTTCAGTGAGGAGGCAGAAAGTAATTGAACATAGGAACTTTTGAGGGTCTTTGGGGAGAAAGGGACCAATAACCGGGTGTTGATTGTATTCAGAACTTAGTCTAGGTAGAAAGCAAGATTTATGCAGAAGAAAGGTCAGTCATTATGAGTGAGGACCTGATCTCATGTCATATTGGAAATGTAGTCAACTTTTTTTTTTTTTTTTTTTTTTGGTTTTTTTAACAAACCAAAAAGATTCTCACTGGAATTTTATCTAAGAGAAGCTTTGCTTGTTCTTGGCAGGCATTATGAACTTAACTTTGATGTTTGATGGACTTTCACGTTTGATGCTTGCAGGTTTATCAGGCTTGCCTTGTGGACCGTACTTACTGTGTTATTGT